TAAAGGCTGCTACCTGACATCATTGGTTTTTGTATACTGGTTTTGTTTTTGTTGAAGCAGTTCTGTTATTGCCAGAAGCTTTTTCAGTACATGCTAGGCAGGGAGAAAAAAATTAGTATGACAATAATTAGTAAGAATGTACATAAAAATTAAGTCAATTATTACAATGGCAGTATAGACAAAAGAATTCACAAAATATAGTTACCATTCTAACTAAAGCATAAACTTTAAAAAGTTTCTATTTTTTCAGTCTTTGAATACACAGAACTTTTATAGACTATACTGATAATATAGTTGTGTCTGAAATTCTAGTTACTCTATTTAGGCTCCAGTTTGCTTGAAGACAGGTTTGTCATAAATAAGACATGCATTATAAACACTAAGAGGTTATTTAAAAGTTACTAACTTGAAACCAACTGAAGACATTAAAATTCACTCTAATTTTTAAAGAGTTATAGGAGAAATATAGTTTCATCATGGTCAACTTTAGCTCCTTTACTACATTTAAAGTTTTAGATGGTCCAAATTCTCCAGTAAGATTTATTTTTATTTCTAATTTATTATCTAAGGCAAGTCATATAATGATAGCAGACTCCAGTGAAATAAGACATGTATCTAAATATGTGTTTCCATTATAAAACTATCCCCATGTAACAACCTCTCCATAGGTCTTTCAAGAACTGGGGCCATTTAAATTATGATTCTTTAGGCTCTTTTCAAGTTAAATATCCTATATAAAGTCCTGTTTGGGGGTTTTTATTTTAAAAAATTTCTAATTTACAGGAGAAAAAAATTACAATAATAATAAATTTCCAATATATTCTTCAAATTTCCCTAATGTAAACACACACACAATAACACTGTGATGAATAAAGCCAGGAAATTGCCACTGATACGGTACTATTACCTAATGTGCAGGCTTTTTGGGGGTATTTTTCCAGTTTTGCCATTTATATCTTTTTTAGTTTTTATTAATTTTAATGAAAGTTTACAGAGACTTTGAATTTCCATTCATTCATTGTTGCACTTTTCTCCCTGCCCATTGTTAACAATAGCAAAGAGTTGGAAACAACCTATGTGCCCATCAACAAACAAATAGATGAGTAGCTGTGGTATATTCACACACTGGAATACTACGATGCATTGAAAACCAAGGAACTCATGCAGTATTATTGAAAATGGGTGACCCTGGGGGACATTGCTGAATGAAATATCTCAGTCATAAAAGGACAAATACTGCATAGTGCCACTATTGTAAAACAGGACTGACATTGGGGTTAGGGGGAGACTGAGAAAGATGGGATGAATTATGTACACTGCATTGAAACAGATGAGGAAGAAAACTGTTTAAAAGAAATAGATAATTAGGTATTATTTTAATGACAGGAGTCCAGAACGAAGGCTGCATAAGTGGGGTTGACCAGTTTTAAGTCTCTTCAAATCCTGGTCCCTTCTATGATTATATGCCAAATTCTGGTCCCTTCTATGAATATCTGCCAGTCTGTACTTTTTTTGTTCCAGATAGCAAACATTTACTAAATATAGTCTAGATTCTTAACATTTGTTCCATGATTCAATTGCAGTTGAATCCCTAAAAGAACTTGTTAAAATGCAGTTTCCAAGTATATATTCTAGAATCTGTGCATGTAAAGCTTGGAATATATACTTTTATCAAACCTCAGTCACACTGTTCATCCTCTGTGTGTATGTGTGAGATAGTGAATAAAAAATTGCCACATTACTATTTTATATTTTTTTCACATGTGCCACTAATATGAACACCGTTTTCAGGACGAGCTAATATACTAGATTGAAGAAATAAGACCTGATATTTCAGAGAATCAAAATTTCTATCACCTTCATCTAGTTCTATTATTCCTGTCTGCCAAGTTTTTTAAATTTATTCAGACTACTGACAATTGAAATATAACAGATAAAATAAAAATAATGACCAGTATTTATCTTTTTATAACCTTTGGGAGTCTTATGCTGACATTCTGGTTAAACACTAATGAAATATTGTTGACAAAGGTGAGTGAAAACCTACCTGCTGTGCACCACGTTCATTACTGAGGGTCCTCAGTTCATCTGAATGGGCCACACAAATCTCATGTAATGCTGCTAAATCACGGGACAAGTCAG